CGCAGTCCAATGGGGCTGCGCAGCGTTCCAACCAGGCCCTGGAACAATTCCTTCGCTGCTACATCTCTGACAATCAAGACAATTGGGTCGATCTCCTGCCATGGGCCGAGTTTGCGAGGAACTCTGCTGTCAACTCCTCCTCCGGGATGTCTCCCTTCATGGCCAACTATGGATTCCAACCCGCTGTATTGCCTGAGTTGTTCTCGCCACAGGACATTCCGGCTGTGGATAGCCATCTTGCTGCCCTGCGTTCCTCATGGGGGCAGATCCAGAGGTCCTTGAAGGACTCGGCTCAGCGCCAGAAGCTCCAGGCTGATCGTAGACGGTTGCCCGCTCCTTCATACCAGGTCGGAGATCGAGTGTGGTTGTCCACTCGTAACCTCAATCTTCGGGTGCCTGCACTGAAACTGGCTCCCCGTTTTGTTGGTCCTCCGCAGGGTGAACCCGGTTGCCTATGCCCTTGCTCTTCCTCCTGGGATGCGTGTCTCCAATGTCTTCCACGTATCCCTGTTGAATCCTGTGGTCTGTAATCCCTTTACTGCCTCTCCACCTCGGCCTCATCCTATCCGGATCGACGGTCATGAGGAGTATGAGGTGAGCCGCATCCTGGACTCTCGGTTGGTCCGTGGTCGGCTGCAGTTCCTGGTCCATTGGCGTGGTTCTGGTCCTGAGGAGCATTCCTGGGTTCCTTTCGCGGATGTTCATGCTCCTGCCCTCCTCCGCACTTTTCACGCCCGCTTTCCACAGAAACCTTATGTTGAACCTTGGAGGGGGAGGGGCCCTTGAGGAGGAGGTACTGTCAAGGTCCTACCTTTCCTCAGACCTTGTGCTGCTCCATGTGCTGGCATCCATCTTAGGTGTCTGCAAAGCATTGTGGGATCCTTTATGCTTTCAGCCCTCTGCAGCTCCTCCCCCAGGAGGTGGCAGCTTATCACATATAAGTCTGCTTTTTGTGGCTGTCCATTGCATTCAAGCTCTGTCTGTTGCACAACAGCAAGCTCCTGTTTAGCTACTCATTGCTTTCCTGGATACCAACTCGGCTTTGGATAAGACTCCTCCTTGCTTCTGACCCCGGCTCTGGCGACCATTCTTCCTGGCTCCTGATCCCGGCTTTGGCTACGATTTCCGCTGTTGGACTTGCATAGACTCTTGTCTTATTTTTATATTAATAAACCTACCTTTTAATTGCACCTCCTTGTGTGTCTGGCTCCTTGCTCCCTGCAATGTGTTCAGAGATTTTTTGGACGTTTTTGTGGTCCTCTATTTAGATGACATCCTGATTTTCTCTGCGTCCCAGGAGGAGCATAAAGATCATGTTAGAAGCGTGTTGGGACAGCTCCGTCAACATGGGCTGTACACAAAGGCAGAGAAATGCAGCTTTGAACAATGCAGCATTTCCTTCCTGGGACTAATCATCTCTACTACGGGAGTAGCCATGGACCCCCAAAAGATCTCTGCTATTCTGGAATGGTCAGTGCCAACTGACAAGAAGGGTGTGCAACAATTCATTGGCTTCGCCAATTTTTCTAGAAAGTTTATCAAGAACTTTTCAGGCCTCATGTCCCCCATCACCCAACTCACCAGACAAGGGGTGCGTTTTAAGTGGACACCTGAGGCACAGATGGCCTTTGAGTCCTTGAAGAGGCTGTTCACTGAGGCCCCCATACTGAGCCACCCTGATTCCTCGTTACCCTACATTCTAGAGGTAGACGCGTCTGAATGCGGTAGGGGCTGTGCATTCCCAGAGGAAGGGCGTCAAGGAACTGATGCACCCTGTGGCCTTCTTCTCCAGAAAACTCTCGTCTGCGGAGAGGAATTATGATATTGGGGACCGGGAACTTCTGGCCATCAAGGCAGCATTAGAGGAGTGGAGGTACCTACTGGAAGGAGCCACACACCCAATCCTGATCTTAACTGACCACAAGAATCTAGAGGACGGCGAAGTGCTTGAGGCCACGTCAGGCTAGATGGGCACTCTTTTTTTTTTTTTTTTTTTTCTCAAGGTTTGTGTTCCATATCACATACAGGCCAGGATCAAAGAACACAAAAACCCGATGAGCTTTCGCGTATGTTTGAAGACCCTGAAGAAACCCACAAACCGGACACCATCCTGTCTACAGGGAATTTCCTTGCCCTACAGACCGAGCTACGGTCCCAGCTACAGGCTGCGTCCGTGGGGATGCCAAGTCCACCGGGGGTGTTAGAGATCCGGGTATGACCAGAAATGTGTGGACTGACACAGGGAAGTAGCAGGCTTCAGGAACACAGGCGTAGTCAGGGCTGGAGAGGTGGAATGGTCAGGCAGGCCATTAGGTACTGTCAGGCACCGCCTGGCAGGATCTCTAGTACCCACAGAACGGGATTCCCCAGGGCGCGGAGTCTAAGCCCCAGTCTGCCTTTTCACCAGAGCCCCTGATGGTGGGGGTGGACTTGGCGCAGGACTGAGACCAGGTCGCAGCCCCTGAGTGCACCCAACTGTGGTAGAGGAATCCACCGAGGGTATGTACCGTGGGAAAGCCTGACGTGAAGAGGCTGGCAGACCTGGGAACAGGGACAGATCCGTGTGGGATGGATGGATCGTCTGGGTAGCGTCAGGTGTAGTCAGGCAGGCCAGGTCAGCAACATGCGGTCAGTGAGGTACCGGAGGAGCAGGCAGAGAATAGTCAGGGTCACAAGCGGGGTTCAGTGACTATTGGGGAGAGCAGTACAGAAGATCAGGCAGAAGGATGGTCAGGCAAGCCAGGGATCAAGCTGGAGAAGTCAGCAGAGGTCAGGATCAGGCAGGGTCGGCAACAAATCAGATAGTCAGCAGAACAGGAACACAGGATACCAGGTACAGGGGCTCATGGGAAACAATACACCAAGGCCCTGATCACAGGCCTGGTCCTACTTAAATACACCTCCTGCAATCAGCTTCAGCTGATGGCTGACTGCAGGAGTGAGCTTCTGGTTGCTGAGAGCACCCGCTGGTCAGCCCTGGTACTGCAGCCCACACGGCAGGTGAGCCCCACCACCAGTGCTGAGTCCATTCCTGACACAGGGTTTCTTTACAAAATAAGGAAGGACTTTTGTGGAAGGAGGGATGGATCATGGTGCCCGAAGAAACCTGTACCGCAGTCTTGGGCCACTGCCATGATCACCCTCTGGCTGGCCACTTCGGGGTATGGAAGACCTTGGAACTGCTGCAACGTGTGTTCTGGTGGCCAAGCATGACTAAAGATTGAGAAGCGTACGTGAAGACCTGTGCGATCTGTCAGAGGAACAACCCCACCAGGAGCAAGGCCTGGGGTCTGCTACGACCCTTACCAATACCTAACAGGACATGGGAGATAATTTCCATCGACTTCATCGTGGAGCTCCCACCATCCCAAGATCACACTGCCATTTTCGTGGTTGTGGACCGTCTGTCCAAGATGGCCCATTTCCTGCCTCTGAGAAACATGCCATCGGCTGCGGAGACAGCACAAGTCTTCGTGAGGGAATTGGTGAGACTTAATGGGGTCCCAAAGGACATTGTCTCAGAGGGGTCCAGTTCACTTCTAAATTCTGGAGAGCACTGTGCGAGACCCTGGGAATCAAGCTGTCGTTTATCTTCGGCATATCATCCACAGACCAACGGGCAGACGGAACGCACAAACCAGACTCTGGAGCAGTATCTCAGGTGATACACCTCCTTCCTTCAGGATGATTGGCTGACACTCCTGCCACTGGCCGAATTCACATACAACAATGTGAATCACTCTGCTACCCAACAATCTCAGTTCTTCGCCAATTACGGATTCCATCCCACATTTCTACCTGACACGATTCCAGAGAGTCCAGTGCCAGCTACACAGGATATGCTACAGTTATTCTCAGCAAACAACAAGGTCTTACAAGAAGCTATCACAAAGGCCCAAGAAGATAATAAAAAGGCCTTCGACAAGAGGAGGAGAGGCAAACTCGTTCAGCACCCTGGGGACCAGGTCTGGTTAGCCACAACAAATCTGAAAATGTCTTGCCCATCAAGGAAATTAGGACCAAAATTCATGGGTCCATTCAGGGTGAAACGAAAAATTAACGAGGTGGCGTACGAACTCGTACTTCCCGAATCCTTTAGAATACATCTGGTCTTTCACGTGTCCTTGTTGAAACCCGCAGCACCGGATCCATTCCCGGACCGGAGATCTAGACCTCCGGAGGCCATAAACATTGATGAGGAGGAGGAATTTGAGGTCGAAGCAATTCTAGATTGTAGGAAGAGGAGAGGCCAGACCCAATTCCTCATTAAATGTAAAGGTTACGGCCCGGAGGAAAACTCATGGGAACCAGCCCAGAACATCCATGCCTCTAGACTAATTCGGGAATTTTTCAGTAATCACCCCCACGCAGGAGAGAACAATTGGGCATCCGGCGGCTGCCCGTACGGGGGGGGGCAATGTCAGGTATCGGGTGTTCTGCCACAATACGCCGGGCGGCGCATGCGCAGAACACCGACACACTCTAGCCAGCGGGCAGCGGGACTTTGGCGATCGCGACGGCCGCGCATGCGCACTCGCGATCGCGGACATGCGCCTGGCACCAATGACAGCGCAGGGCGCACTATTTAAACGGGACAGGAGGTATGTCAATTTCCGTTTGGTCTTATTGTCCTGTTCCTGTTATCTGATCCTGTGAAGCTTCCTGTTGCCGACCTCTGCATTGATCTTGACCCTGCTGATTGTCTCCTGCTTGACCCCTGGCTTGACCTGACCATTTATCTGCCTGATCCTCTGTACCGCGCTGCCCGTTAGTTGTTGAACCCGGCTCGTGACCCTGACCATTCTCTGCCTGCTCCTCCAGTACCTCGCTGCCCGCACGTTGCTGACCTGGCCTGCCTGACTACGCCTTACGTTACCCTGACGATCCATCCATCCATTCCGCACGGATCTGTCCCTGTTACCAGGCCTGCCAGCCTCTTCACGTCAGGCTCCATTTCCCGCACACCCCTGACGGTGCTCTCTACCACTGCTGGACGTACTCGGGGGTCGCAACCTGGTCTCAGTCTGCTCCAAGTCCATCCCCACCATCAGGGGCCCTGGTGAATAAGCAGATTGGGACTTAGACCCCGTGCCCTGGGTTGCTAGAGACACCGCCAGGCGGTGCCTGATACGTGGTACCGTGATTTTGCAGCGTTTTTCAGTTTCCCGTGGTTAATGGGCAGAAAGGTCCTATCCTGAATGCGATTCTTTCATGTTCAGGAGAGGGAGGTTTAACCTCACCTAAACAGCAGCTCCTAAACTCTGCTAAAAGCCTATCTCTACTTGGACACATAGGCTTTTATGGAGTTGAGTTTAGGAGCTTTGGCAAAAAAATACCAAAAGCTCCTAAACTCGAGTTTAGGAGCTGCTCATGTACATGAAGCCTTATACTGTGGGCAGGTGGCAAAAAATTAAAAATGCCTCTTACTGGATACCTTGGACTGTCTACTTTCCAAAAAGGGGTAATTTGGGGGGTATTTGTACTATCCTGACATTTTAGGGCATTGTACTGTCTTGGCATTTTGTAGACTCTCTAACTTTCACACAGACTAAATAATATACATAGATTTGAATTCTTTTTACCAAAGAAATGTAGAAAAATACATTTTGGCGTAAATTTAAGAAGATAATTAATTTGCTAAATTTTAAACAGAAAATAAGAAACTTTTTTCACTTACAGTATATAGCAAAATAAAAAAAAGTGTTAATTAAATACCACCAAAAGAAAGCTCTATTTTTGTGAAAACAAAATTAATTTGGGTACAGTGTCGCATGATTGAGCAATTGCAAGTAAAGTAACACAGTGCTGAATAGCAAAAATGCCCTGGTCATGAAGGGGGTAAAACCTCAAGTCAAGTGGTTAATTAAAAGACTCAGCGGTGTGAGCATTTTTATTTACTTTTTAACTTTATTTATATGAAATGTGTGTTTGTACCCTGTACTCATCCACATAGGAGGCAGGTAGCATTTGCCCTCTCAAATTGGGGACAAGTTGACTTGAGGGGGAGACTTTCCTGTTCCCCCTTGAAAGGTACCCTCATGAGGCTGAAATATGACCTAGTATAATTCAGGAGGGGTGCAACCCTTTCTGCCCCCAATTTCCTAAAAAAACCAAGCTGCATGCCTTGATAGGGTTTGTTTGTGAATTTCTGGTGAGGCAGTGCACATTTTTCTTATAAATGGCATTGGGTCCTCCACATCATGCCCCTGCTTTCCCCTCAGCCACTCCTTACGCCATCACGTTATCACAGCAGATGGCCAGTATTGGAGCTTACAGGGAGTGATGTAACTCCCTTTGCCATATGTCATATCTGAAAGTGGCGCTTGACATGATATTACCGTGCAGACACAAGCCTATTCCAATAAAAAATCAGTTAAGCCCCATACACACAGGTAGAATACCGGCCGGTATTGGACAGTTCAACAGAAACTGGATGACATTTGACCTGTGTGTACGGCAGCCTCTCCGACAGAAGCCGGCCGAACATCCGGCTTCTGTCGAAAAGGCATAACTGAGAAACCTCTGCTGTTCGGCATCCAATAAGCTCTCTGAGCCAATGGCTACAAATGCTGACCAGTGTGTTCTGGTGGGGGAGCAATCCCACTGTCAGAACATAAAAGCTCAGTGGGGAGATCGCTGTACTAACATCAGATAGTTAGTACCATGAGCTCCGCTCGAGCTCCTCAGTTTTTTTCATTCAGCCAGCAAGGTAAAATGAAAACAAAACTGATAGTGTGTACCAGGGGCAGACTGACAACTCATGGGGCCCCAGAGCAATAGGGGATTATGGGGCCCCTGTTTCCTTGCCCAAACTCAAAAAAGCCTATGAAAAAAAGTACCAGGGGCATCTCATGTTGCCCCCTACTGACCCCGGGCCCTTGGGTAGTGCCCAAATTTCCAAATGGTCAGTCCGCCCCTGGTGTGTACCTAGCATTAGAAGACTCTAGCTAGCTAACACATTTCAGGAGCCACTCATCACTGCCTTCATCAGGGCTAAAGAAAAGGACATTTACATTAATGTATTGTATGGTTGTGCATAGTAACCAATCAGCTTCTAGCCTAAGCTTGTTCAGTAAAGTTTTATCAATGAAAGCTAGAAGCTGATTGGTTGCCATGCATTCAGTGCAGCGGGGAGCTTTGTGACAGATTTAATAAGTACGTTTGTCCACAGACACTGTTGACTGTCTGACATTTGTGAAAATAAACCAGTCTTGGATCAGCAACACCTACCATGCTCCTGCTGCAGATGCTTATGATTAAATATTTGGAGTATCCTGTCACTCTCCCTTTTTTTTTTTTTTTTTTTTTTTACTTCATCCAAAACTGTTCTGTTACTGTTGCAGGCCATGAAAATATCTCACACATTGCCACCATTTCTGTCAGGTCTCTGAGCAAACCCAACTACCATTAATACATCCCACTTTGTTTAAAAGGGTCCATCCTGTGCAGTGAAGGATTTTGCTATGTAACAGTTGCACCTACTCGAATGTTAGTTAAAGCAGAGTTCATCCTGTGCTCTGCAGGAATTTTTCTGTGGCCTTCAGTATTTGGGCACCACCAACACCTTAAACCCAATTTTTTCACAGCTGTGTCAAAGTTGCAGATACAGTAAATGTTTGCTAACATTCTGTGCTATTCAGGATTTTTTCTGTTGAATTTATGGTGTTTGCGCACCACCAACACACCTCACCAAATATTTTTTCTGCTGTATGATGGTAGCATAAAACATACATTGTTTGGCCAAGGTCAATCAGCAAGCCCGCCAAAATTTTCTGGTTGGGTACAGAAGCATTGTCTCTACATGCAATTCACAAATCCTAATTTTTAAAAAGCTTCCTTGATGGCTGAAGAAATTGTTCAATTTGTGGGCATGCATAGATATTGCATTGCTCATTAAAGTAGAACTATAGGCAAACTTTTTTCTTTTTTCATTTTATTTAGAGTAAAGGAGGGTTATAACCCTTGTCAGATTTTTTTTTTTACCATCTGTATCTAATTGCAGAGATTTCCTGTCTCTTCCTGTCCCATAGCCAAACAGGAAGTGAAGGGAAATCCCTGCAAATTAAGGAAATTCCTTGGGGACCCCCAGATCACCAGAACTAGAGTCCCCATTGGATGATTTCCCCTCTGTTACTTTTCTGGGGATAACCCAAAATTTGGGATTTTCTTTTTCTTTCACTTTCAATGATAATGGTAAACAGGTCAAATAGACAGGGTGAATATATTTAGTGGGGACACAGACAGCAATAAAAACTGACAAGCGTTCTAATCCCTCTTCACTCTATCCTAAACTAAAAAAAGTTTTTTTCACCTAAAAAATTTTTTTTTTGTGTGAAATCACCATGCATTATCATTAAAAATGCACAACACCTTGTTTCCTCATTCTGCTCCCCAACTGTGAAATTTGGAATACACACCCTTGAAAGTAGAGTGGCCTAACAATAAAAACAGCTTGGTCAAAATTTTTGCCTCCTGAAACTATTTCCTTTAAAATGTGCTTTGAAGTGTGTACAAATAATTCCTGAAAATTTTTTTTTACTTTCTTCTGGTAACAGCATTTGCATTTACAGATGGAGCCTGCCTACTTTCTCCCCCTAGAACTGCCTCTGATGATCACTATTTCTGTTCTGTACACAAAATTGGTATGATTTGTAGATTTTGTCAGAAAAATAGAAGTCTGCCTCCCATTAATAAAGATGGAATTCTCTGTCTGAAACATATACAATATTTTATCATATCTCTGCAAATACAGTCTAATTTAATTATTTAAAGTCTGCTGAATGATATAAAAAAACATTCTTATAATGTGTTATCTGCTTTTTCTCTTGCTCTCCCAAATAGTGGACATTTGAAAAGGTTTAAAAAGGTGTGCACAAAATCTGTAAAATTTGTCCTTCCTCACCCTATGAAAAAGGAAGCCCATTCGCAAATTGTGGTCTTAAGAATGCAGGCTTAAAATATGTGTTTATAAAGATCTATGCTGTTTCCATCTTCAGTGTACAAAACAGACACTAATATACTGGTGTAAAATGCCTGGCTGCTATATCTCTCCAAAATTGCAAACTGTTCACACCAATCTGTGTTATTCGGTTTTATGCTTTTTCCATGCTGAGTTTAATTGTTTATTTCCTGGTGCTATATGACTGCTCAGACTCTCAGAAATTGCATTCTTCTCAAACAGGTGATCTAGCTGTGGTGCAAACTTATGTTATTTCCATCACCAGTATCCAAAAAAGACACAATTTTTTTAGATGCTAAATAAGTGCCGAGGCTCTCAGAAATTGTAACCCTTCCAAACAGGCTTTTTAGCTGTTTTGCAAACCTGTATGCTATTTCCTTTATCAATTGCCAAAAAATACACTGTTATTTTTTCCTGATGCTAACTGTCTGCTCAAGCTCTCAAAAATTGCAACCTTTTGAAAAGGACTTTCTAGCTATTGTGATCTAATTTCTCTTTCTTCATAAAAAAAATTGAGGTCTGTATGGTAAAGGCTTAAAAGGTGTTCCATTTTTCAGTCTTCAAACTTAGAGAATAGCCCTAAATGTTCTTTTTTGCATGTAATCTGCCTGCCCACTCTATTTGGGAAAAGTGGAAAAAAACATGTAGTATTTAGAAAACTGTAATATGAACTTTTTAGGCACATATACTCCAACAACATAAATAAAATCATAAACACCTTTATTACAGTATTCTAAAACTCTCCACTGTAGACAAGCTGGAATCATAAGAGCAAAAAAAGCAATGTACCCTAAATATTGGAATAGGTATATTCCCCCCTAAAGAGACTGCCTTGATCATTCCACCCCAGATTATAATGAACAATATCGGCACACTTGTTACTGCAAGGTATGGGGGTACCGTATTAAAAAAACTGTAGCTCTACACGTTTTGCCACATAGTTGCTTCCTCAGAAGCTTAAGGGGGGATCTAAACAGAATGAAATACATGCATTAAAACGTACAGTAGATATTTATATAAATCTAAACCCTTAAACAAACTAATTGGTTACACTTTCAAAAGTACAGCATTGTCTAGACATTCAGAGTTTGGTTGAAGCACCAAGGTTG